GCTGTTTTCCAACGAATGTAGGTTTTCTTTTGGTGTTTTAATTTATGCTCTGTTTGTCATGGTATGAAAGGTGACTTTAATTGGATACTGACCTCTATTTAGTTGGGTATATGTTATAGTTCTGATTTTATATATCCATGAAAGCATTTCGGGATCGAGAGTTATAATAACATATTTATTCTCTTGATCATTGCTGACCTACAGTATCCACCCATCGGGAGCAATCAAAAAGGAGGGAAGATACTAGTAGTACAGTATCCAAGTAAAACAATAGTGTATCGATTGTTATTTGTTAATGCTATTGTCTCACTCCTACAATCATCTTTTTCCACCATAACTTTCGTATACAACTTTGAAAATATGGTTTCCGAATTGGGCCCAATGGCAATGGGATCATCATGATAAACTGCAAGGTGTAGGAAAGAGGGGAGCATCACAGCTTTTTAGCTGTGACGTCCCATGCAAAGCTACTTGGAAATATGTCGATACTCGGGTTTGCAAGCTATCATGTATGGCCTATGGGGGGTGCTTGAGGCTTAGATGCTCGTCGTTTTTCACTTGGAAAAACCTATCCCCAATTATTCATGCAAAAAAGTTTTCAAATAAAAATTTAATATTTTATTACAATTAATTATAATTTTTAATATATTTTTTTATTCAATTAAATTTTAAATATTTATGTTCATTTCAATTAAATCATTGATTTGATGAAAATTAATATTGATGGTTACTTTCGTCTAAACAAAATTCAATTGATAAAAAAATATATTTAAAATTTTAATTAATTATAATAAAATAATAAAAAATTCAAATAATTATTAAAGTTTTATTCAAAAACGTCTTTATCTTTAGCCGTATACATGTATTCATTATTAATTCCTCTTTACAACTTTTCTCCCATTTCTTTCTTTTTCTTTTCAGACTCTTTGTTTAGTATTTCGTTTTATTTATTTTGGGTAAACAAATTCCTAGAACGTATGGTAGAGGATTGCTTTATTTTTTGGGGGTTGAAGTTTGAACATTCTACCCAATTAATATGCATATATAAATAGAAAATGACATAGAGCAATTATGGAGGCGGGCGCACTATAAACCACGACAATCGTCCTCGATCGAGTGGATGGCTAAATGTCTGCCTTATATACAGGGAAGAAGACTTGACACAAGATGGAACGCAAAAGCTCCTTTCTTCGACAGTTGCTTCACCTAAAATTCTCGAATAATATAGACCCCATTTCATTAATTGAGTTTCCCCATCCAAATTCAGGCCAAATGGCAAAATCTTAGATTTTTTTTTTCATAACATTATTACTAATAAAGTATTTAAATCATATTTGATATATAAAATTATTAATAAATAAAATAATAATTATTTTGTATTATTTTGATTTGTATTTTAAAAAATAGAGATTGTAAAAGTAATTAATATCATCTTGACATATATTTATTTAATTATTTATAGGTGAAAAGAATTATTTTTAATCTATAAGATTAAACTTACAAATCTAATTATACTTTTAAAAATTATATCAATAATTTAAATTGTATAAATTTTAAGAAAATATAATTTTAATAAATAAATAAATTATCTTATCATAATCATTACATATATTAAAAATAAAATAATTTAATTTAATTTAATCTTATTTATAACATTATCTTATCTTATTTTATCATAATCTTATATATCAAATATGACTTTATTATTTTTTAGACTTCATTTTGACAAATGTAAATGATATTGATAAGAAATGTTAAATTTGAGCATGGAACTTTCTTATTAAGAAATTTGTTGTCGCAATTTTGGTTCCGAAAAATCTTGAATGCCCACGTAGCATTACTCCCCTAATAATCATTTGAAAATTGGAATAAACCATTACCTAATGATACAAGACACTGGCTAACGTTTGGTGAAAGTTCTGAAGAATCCTTCGTATGATTTTTATGTGGGAGACATTTCAATTGGTATAACATAAACATTTGAAGATTTGAACCCCTTTCATCAAGATGAAGTTTTTATAAGGTAAATCATTGGGATTTCCTCTTCGGAATGCCTAGAAATGTGTGTCCTATATTTATATAAATTATTATTAATATATTATTGTTATAAGCTGTCAATTTAAATTAATTGATTTTAAGTGAAAAGTCCAACTTATATATAATTATCATATAAAGTCAAATTAGTTCGTATGTCATAAGTTGATATGACGTGGCATTTTGGTTGGCTTAATTTTAACGGGTTGCTTACGTGGATTAAAATCATGTCACGCTGTCTAAGTTTTAATTCAGTTAGCAACATATGTTAAAAATCCCTTTTTTAGTTTTGTTTTTTCAAAATTAAATTTAATAAGTTAAAAAATCCCTTTTTTCACTTTGAATTAAATTAAATTTAATTAAATTTAATAATATTTTTTAATAAATCGGTTTAGTATGTTATCAAAATAAAAAAGTTTTTTTAGTAATTAAATTTAATTTTTTTAATAAAATAAAAAAAGGATTTTAATGTTACTGATGTGAATTAAACTTTATGTCACATGGCATAATTTTAATCTATATCAACAACACCTTAAAATTAAGCCAACCAAAATGCCATGTCATATTGTTTAACGATCATATTAGACAGTCAAACGTCATATCAACAAATTTAATAAAAAAATTAAATTGAGTTAGTGTTTTGATTAAAATTAACAAACTAAAATAATATAAAAATTAAATTTAAATGAATTATAATAGATAGATTAATTTTTAAATTTTTAAAGAGCATTAGAACTTACGACATAATTTAATTTTATCATAAAAAATTCAAAACTTATCAGATATAAGATAATATTATTTAACACTTCTCTAAATAACAATCGAAATGAGGTTTATCACTAGGATAAATTCATAAGGGGCAATAAGACAAGAAGAAAAACAAATTTGGATTTTGACATCAAGTTAATTTGCTTACCTAAATTTCATTAGTTATTGGTGGAGATTAAAGTGATTTAATTTGAATATAAAATTATAAAAAAATTTATAATTTAGTACATATAGGATAATACTATTTTACAAATACAATTTAGAATATGTTATACAATTAATTATTCTAGATGCAATGTTATAATTATTTCCTAAAACATAATTCAAAACTATGCTTTTGTTTTTTTTCTTTTTTGGACTAAAAGGATACTATTAGGAGATTTTGATTTTTTTTATTGAAGAAGAAAATACATCCACATCCACATCCACATCCACATCCACTTATTATTTTTTATTATTTATTTAATTATATATATATTTAATTATATATATTAAAATAATATTTTATTAATTTTAGATTAAATCAGATCATATATAATTTTACATAATATCAAATCAAATAAAATTAATTTCGAATATAAAAAATAAAAAAATTTATCAAATCAGATCAAATTTAAATATTATATATATAATTAAATTAAATTCAAAATAAATAAAAACTCATCGCAACCTAATCTATTACTATTCTTAATTCAAATATAAAATCATCGAGTATTTTTCTTTGTTTGAAAGAAAAAATCGTTGAGTACCTTTTAGCGATAAAATTACTATTAATTATCTGGTGTACTTATTGTTAACCAGGATTTTATTATAATAGGTTTAGTGGCAAAATAACACTTCCAATAAGGTAAAAATCTGTGTCATCGCCCCAGAGAAAGTTGTGAATAGCCTTCAAATACATGTGCATTCGTGATGTTGACATAGCATTACAAATAATTCTGCAGTAATTATCAGCTTAGCACCGCCTAGAGTGGGAAAAGGAGGTGCATAGGAGGAGAAAAACTGAACCAAAAACCAAATAAAATAATAAAAAGAGTGAAAACTGGCACGAATAAAGACTAAGAGAGTGCTAGGCTGCTAGTTAGCTGCCCAGCCCTTTCACCCTTGCAATGATGCACGACAGACGGGCTCCATAGCATTAAATTATTGATGCACTTCTTTGTTTTTTGGCCAATTTAATTTCCACTTATTATATGTGAAACTTGCTGCGCCTATCTCCATCACAACCACAAAAATAAGCAAAAATAATAATTCAGACATTTACTTTTTTTGGAAGATTGACCTATGTATTGACATTCCAAATCATGTTATGCTTCGCATTTAGGGCTTCAAAGATTGAATCTCAATAATTGTAAGGTTATTAACAGTCGAAAGAAAACCCAAATCTCACATTTCTTAACATATCCTAAATAGCAGTAATTAACCATGATCATAGAATATCTTATTTAAGGGTTAAATTATTCATTCATCTAATTTAAATAGGGTATTAAATAAAAAAATTTTAAGATCAAAATTAGCTTGAGATATTAAAATATTTATTTTTTATTTTTTTAATATTTTAAAAAATTAAATTTTTAAAATCAATTGATATAATGCAGTCTTGAACAAAGATTTTAAAAGATCAATCAGGCTAAGACCAACCAGGCTAAGGCCAACCCAATCTACCCAATGGACAAGTAGGACAGGCTGAATTTTTCTATTAATTGTAAAGCCGGATCAATATAAAAAGTCAAAAAATAGGTTTAAGAAAATAAACAGAAGAATTGAGAACAAGCTGTGAGCGTAGCCAAGCTAATCATTACTTGGATTTCAAATTAGCAAAACAACTGTTAGTAGGCCACTGTATGGGAAATCAACGCGGACATCGAACCATTTTACAACAGTTTTTTCCTTTCTTTGGACCGAAGAAAACAGCCAGACAACAGCTCCATATTATTAACTAACGTAAGCAAGCCCACTACCCTAAAACCCGTTTTAATTAGTTTAACTTAATGTCCTAATTCCATTTTTCCATTAAAAAGTGTTGGCGACCAAAGCAAAAAAAAAAAAAAAACAAATGCCCAGTTGTCCTGCATGATATTTTGGAGAAATTGGCATGATTGTGGGACACAAGTCATTATCTTATTTTATTATTTATAAAATTCCAAGCACAACTTGTCCTCCCACCCTATCATTTACCCTATAAATGGAACCCCCAACGGCTTTAGGTTCTTCCATGCCCAAAAAACGCGTAGCCCATTTCTCTCTCTCTCTCTCTCTCTCTTTTGTTTAGCAATTTGCATTAGTGGAAAGGAAAAAAGGAAAACAACGAATGGGTGCTCTTGACACTCTTTCCGACTATATTTCTGATCTAATAACTGTTCGTACCAGAAGGAAGAAGCATAAAGTAATGCAGGTACTCGTCAATTCCAATCTTCTTACATCCTTTCGCTTTATTTTTCGGATTTCGTTACATGTTCTTTGTTCTGTCAACTGTGCCAACTGCCAAATATATATACGCTCCTTTTACTCTTTGTTAGCTGGTGATGGTTTTTCTTCAACCTGTTAAAACTGAATATTGTCTTCTTAATTTGTTGTCTGCAGACTGTTGAGATCAAGGTTAAGATGGACTGCGATGGCTGTGAAAGGAGAGTCAAAAACGCTGTGTCCTCCATGAAAGGTGCAATACAAAGCTCTCTTCCTCTCTAAATCTTCTTTCTTTACTTGTTTATTATTTATTATATATTTTTGGTGTTACTCATGACTATATATCCTGATTCCAACCAGGCTGGTTAAAAAGAACCGAAGCCTGTTAGCTATAATAATCCATCACAGCCTATTGAATCATGACAATTCATGGAAAAAAAAGAAGTTTTATTCGTTGGTTGCAGCCCTTTGAACCTCTTTGAAAAAGCCTTTTGGACCTCTTATCCTTTACTATCACTTTCTAGTTTCTACATCTTATTTTCCTGGCCTGGTTTTCATGGCTATACCATTACCGTATGAGAATTTAGCAGACAGAAAATCGTATATTAATTGCTCTTCCTAAAGAAGGTGAGAAAAATAAAAGTCAAGCGAGAGGGAGAATCTCTGATAGCTTCCTCGTATTAAAAACTGGAAGAAACAGAAGCTGTGTTTATGGTTCTCCCCGTACTGCAAAGTCTTAAAAACCATAAATTTACTACAGGCAAAAACAGGAGAGATTTGTTACTTCCACTGTAAAATTCACAGTTCAGTCTTCTTTGACATAGTAAGGGAAACATGAATATTTATATACTATCACTTAAAAAGGATAAAAACAAACAAGTTTCTCTGGAAACAAAAAAAATAGCAGTTGGAAAGATCTTTCTATTTTCTGTTTGGAGACATTAAAAGCCCTTTACTATAATAAATGCACTGCTAATTCCCACAAACCAAACGTACCCTTAACCTCCGGTGATTTTAATCAAAACCGACTACAAACCATCTATCCCTTTCACGTCGTAATTATTCTGTCCTTGTCATAACATATTTAAAACTTTACCCCAATATGTTTTTTTCCATTTTTTAAAATTTGTTTTCTTAAGTAAATTCTAGTATTAATAAGTCATAGTATTATTTTTTTTTCTATCTTGTGTAGGTGCGAAATCAGTTGACGTGAACAGAAAGCAAAGCCGAGTGAGCGTGACCGGATATGTTGAGCCAAACAAGGTGTTAAAGAAGGTGAAGAGCACAGGAAAGAGAGCTGAGTTTTGGCCCTATGTCCCTTACAACTTGGTGGCATACCCTTATGTTGCTCAAGCTTATGACAAGAAGGCACCATCAGGCTATGTTAAAAACGCAGTGCAAGCTTTGCCTAGTCCAAATGCTGTAGATGAGAAGTTTGTTACTCTCTTTAGTGACGAAAACCCAAATGCATGTTCGATCATGTAGGCAATTTTGATGGAATTTAATCTAAAAGCTAAAGCTGTGTATGCTTGGAAGGGACACAATTTTCACTGTACCAACGCTTAGTTGGCTGTTTAATTAGGACATGTTACTTAGTTTTCTTCTTGTGACAAGACGACAGGTTGAGTTTAGGTGCTTTGAGTTTTTGTGAAGGGAATTTTCATTTGAATGCTTTTAAGTTTTTCATGTAGTCGACTGATGATATATCTATATGTAGCATGTATATATAGCACGTATTTTTATTCTCGAGCTCAAAGTTCAAGTTATCTTTAATTTTTTATATATTGATCACCGGAAATTAGACGTGTTTGTTTTCCCTATAGGCAAGTACTGTAAGTATACCGAATGGATTAATTAATTCCCAGTTCAAGAAAAAAAAAAGGTTAAAGGTCAAATGGATCAGTGATCTCAATGAAAATGAAGAAATCATAGAACTTAATTTTAATTTCAAAGTTTCATGGTATGTGAGTTTAATTTAAATTGATAGTTGATTTATTGATATCTTCCATGGATTGGTATAGTGCAGATAAATATGAAAATCTTTTAAGTTTGCTCTTAAGTCTTGAAGTAAAAATTCAAGTTTGCTTTTAGAATGCTTTAGATGCAAAATTTTAAAATGCATCATTTAGCAGTTATGCTCGTATTGTTTTTTATAATAAAATTTAAGATTATTAAAATTTCATTTGATAAAAAATTATAAAAAAATAATGATATTAAAAATTAAAAATAGTTATACGTATAAAAAAAATACCATATGAGGATCATTAGATTTTTAAATATGTATAAATATTTAAAAATACATTTATGTACAAACAAAAATGCAAAAGGCTAGTTCTCCGGCAGCAACATCCTTGTAATTACTTACCTTTTTTCTATTGTCTGATCAATAATATCTGCAGCTAGCTATCTAGCTGATCATCCTCTCCTCGACAACTGGAATCTCAGCATTAATTATTATCTGCATGTGGTTTCTCATTATCCACAACTGAATTGCATCGTCATGGCCACAATTCCCTTCATCCAGTTCCATAAGGTCGAACTTCAATTCTCAGCCTTCTGGCAGCCTTGGTCATCATTATTTGTTTCAGAAGCTTATAGTCCACTTTTTGCTCTCATTTCTGCAGCCTCTAGTTCAACTTTCTTTGCCCTGCGTGACAATTCTATATCTTCCACTACTTGATTTTGATGAATCTTTCCACGACGTCTTAATTGGTAATCTTCGAGCTTGACTTAAAACTGTTTTTGCCTTTTTTTTTTTTGGGTTACTGCTAGCAGGTCGTCTTCTCTCCTGTTGCCATAATTAGGTGTGACCAATGAAATTGTGAAGTTTATCCATCATAATCCAAATATATCTAACGCAGTCAAAAAAACTGAACAAATTACGGTAACTGAGGATTTCTAGTCCACAAGTTCAAGATCATCTAATTAGAATGTCGGTTGCTTGTAGCCAAATCAATCTTCTATGTATGGGGTTTTACTTTTGGTGAAGATGAAATGAAGCCTCGCAATGGTGAAAAAAATTCATTTGAACAAGTAAAGCATAATTGGAATTTTCCCAAGGTTTTTCCCTAACATTATTTCAACTTACAATATTGGAAACTGGAAAGGGGATCATCACCAAATAATTGAAATCCTTTGACATTTCTGAGCCTCTGACTTCCAAGCCGTAAGGGCATTTGCCACGTGTATTTGACCCAAGACTTCAAAGTTGCTGACTTGCCAGAGCAGTTGGAGTGATATTTTCTCTCCAAATAGTCAGTTCCTAAGGTAATATATATTTTTTTAATAATTGAGACTATCAGCACTTGAATTAGATTATTAAAATTAAAATTTTAAAATTTTATTAACAAATTATACTCTTGTTGATAATACTAATTAATATTTTTTAGAACTAAATAATTAAAATATAATTATTGTGTGTTTGTAAGTACTTATTAAAATTAATTAAAATATTATGTTAAAAAAGTTTTTCATTAAATTTAAAAAGAGATAAAACATTATAATTTATAAATATCATATTGATTTTTTTTTATAAAAACTGTTGTAACTTGAGGATAAAAATATAAATTATTAATATTAAAATTTAATTTTAAATTTGATGAATATTATATCTTAAAATAATTATATAAATTAATTAAATTAAATTTCTGATTCCAATAAATGATACTTTGAATAACCATTGAATGAGGAGAAATGCCTCGTGTCAGTTCATTTTCTATATCTGAATAATATTATAAAAGTATGTGATATACGTATGTTCACTAAAGCACGCTACATAGAGATAATGTTTCCTACAAGGAAAAGGCACTAGGCTAGGTTTTCGTCACAAATAAAGACAATGGTTTAGTGGAATTATAGAGTGCAACCAAAAGTCTTACACAAATCAACATCGTATTCATGTCTTTAAACCCCGTGATTATCTACCAGGGTCTAGAAAAAAAAAAAAATTCCCGATCAGGTTAGGTGAGATTGTATTGTAATGCTTAATAATGGTATAGATGTATATGTTGAAGGTAGAAAGTTTTTTTTTATTTTTTTTGTGAGAAGGAATTGAAGCATAAATGTTTTTTAAGAGATTAATTATTCCAACAAATACGTAACATATTGAGTTCAAAATATATATATATTTACAAATAGTCACTGAGTTTTAAGGATTTTTTTAAAATAATCACTTAAATATTAAAATTTTCATTATAATCACTTAAATTTAAGTAAAAAATTTTCATTCAATTGTTGATAACTAATGACATATTGAAGTGGTAATACCGTATCAATTTTTAGGTGTCTCGTGACACACCCATGTCATCTAGCAAGTCACGTAATATTATTGATGTGATATTATTAAATTTTAAAAAATAAATAAATTTTAGTCATTTAATTTTTAAAAAAATTATATTTTAATCCTTTTATTTAAAAAATTTACAATTTGATCACTAACAAAAAAGTTCTCAAATTTTATGAAAAAAATAAAATTTTGGTTATTAACAAATAAGTTCTCAAACTTTATAAAACATAAAAACAAGTATTTGATATTTTTATTACATAAAATCAAATTATAATTTTTTTTTGTAATTATACCTTTTAAATTTGAAAAATAAAAAATATTATCCAGTTGCAAAAATTACTAAAACAATGTCACTTCAAATCTTGATCATTTAGCTTATCCAAATAAACTCAACTAAATATCTCATATTTCATAATGTCAATATTTAGCTTTAATTTCATGTAATAAAATATTTAAAAAATACAAATAACAAAATAAAAAAATATTTATTATATTAAATTTCACAAACCATTGGTGATTAAATTGTTATAAAGTTATATTGAGTGTGACATTCAAATTTTAATAATTTCAAAACATTGGTGACCAAAATGTATAAATTTAAAATAGTTTCTTGAATTTATTTAGATTAACATAATGATAAATATTTGAAATAATAATATTTTAGTAATTTTAACAATTGACTAATATTTTTTATTTTTCAAATTTAAATGGTATAATTAAAATAAAATAAAATTTCATAATTTAATTTCATACAATAAAAATATTGAATTTTTATTTTTATTTTTTATAAAATTCAATGACTTATTTGAGTATTATTGCAATATATTTCAATAGGTAACATAAATAATAAAATAATTTGCTTATTAGTTTTATAAACATTGGTAATCAACTCATTATAAATTTATAGTAACAATGAGCCATTGATAATGAAAACCAAAATATTAATAAATTTCATATTTCATAATGTCAAGGTTTTAGTTACAATAAATTTATGCTATCTATATTTATTTTAATATTTTATTGCATGAAATTAAAATTGTGAATTTTATTGTAGTTAGAATCTTAACGTTATGAATATGAAATAATTATTTGAATTTATTTAGATGGATTGAAACATAAAGATTTGAAGTAATAATATTTAAGTAATTAAATTTAGTAATTGGATAATATTCATCTATTTTTTAAATTTAAATGATATAATTATAATAAAATAAAAAATTTATAATTTAATTTCATGCAATGAGAATATCATGCTTATTTCTATTTTTTATAAAAATTGAGACTTATTATTAATAACTAAATTATAAATTTTTAAAATTGGATGACCAAAATAACAAATTTTTAAAAATTAAGTGACTAAATTGTTTTTTTTAATTTGTAATGATACCATAGCAATGCTACGTGACTTCTCAAATGAAGTGGCTGTGCAACTTGGCACCTGACAACTGACATAACATTGTCGTATCAACGCGATGTTAGTCATTAACAACTAAGTAAAATATATATATATATATATTCAAACTTAAATGATTAAAGGGAAAAATTATTCATAAGTGACAATTTTACAAAGATCTATAAAGTTGACTTATTATTTGTATATCTTACCCCAACAAATTGAAAGCCTTATGTTGCAAATCTTCTTAGAAAGGCTCGAGCAGATCCATGAGCCACATGGGCCATTAAGTACTATCTAAAAGCCTCACAATCCAATATATTAGGCTTTGACAAATATGCAGATTATGGGCCCATGCTAACTACTATGAAGCATCCAGAAATTATAAGACCATTTTAGTTACAAAAATTGAGATATTTGCACTCTACTTTTATAAGATTAAAGGTAAAAATAAAAATTATAATCATAACCATTCAAACAATATTACATTCAGCTCTCTTTAAACTAAGTAGGGCATTGGATTGAGAATTTATCGAAATTTTCATTATAAGGGTTTGATCCTAAGTTAAAACTAAAATTCCAAACTAATAAGTTGAGTGAGTTTAATGAGTAGATTAATAGAAATATATGATAATTTTAAAATTTAATTCAATTAAATTATACATTATTTTTAAAAACCAATATTTAATAAATTTAAATCTCAATACACTATCATCTCTTTTATACAAAATTAGTATATGAAAAATTAAAAATTTAACAAGAAGTAGTGTTAAATATAATAACCCTTTGAAGTTTGGAAAAATATAATCTATAATTTTTTATTGTAGTTATATCTCATGTTTACAATTAATTGATTTTATATTGAATATTCAATGTGAGAATCTAATTTTTTTATGCTATATTTTTTAAAATTTATCATATGATAGATTTTTATTTATACATGGTAAGATTTGTTAAATAATTTTATTTTAAATTTGTTAAATCTTAAATGTTTTGTGATTTTATATTTAAATTGAATTTTTTATTTATTATCAACTAATTTTAAATTAAAATATTTAATGAAGACAATGAAAATCATAAAAAAAAAAGAAAAAATGTTTTTATTCAATAATTGGAAAGTTTAATATAAGTAATTGAGCGTCTACTTTTCAAAATAAATTAAAAACCTTGTACCACACATTCTCATATATGATGCTAACAAATGACTTGAAACCTAACCTTTGTAAGTACCAAAAATGCTAGTGATTAATCGACAAATTAAAAATCACAAATGAGCCCACCTAACAAAATGTGGAGGAACACAACACAACATAACCATAAAGTAACAATGACAGTAAGGCTAAGATTGGCTGAATTAATTTGTACTTTCTGAGAAAAAGGAACAAATTAAATAAAGAGCATAAGAGTCAAATAACATCAAATTGGTAAGTTGGCAATTGCCGATATCGTTGTGATATATTCTATATTTCACCGGAACTTCAATTTCTTCGGTCAAATTTCACTTTTGGTTGATGGGATTTTCTTGCCACCTAATCAAAGCAAAATAAGAGGCTTGTTACATTTTTTTTTTTAATTTTTATTTTAAGAAAGAGCTTGCAACCTGTTGATATGCCACATTACCTAATGAGGTGGGCTCTTGTTTCAACAAAATTATTACACTTGCCGACGATGGTTGACAGATATATTAAGGAGTGAATGTTATGCGTTAGCATTTAGATTTAAATTTTTATGGTTTTTTATTGATAGATAATTTGTAAATTTAAAAAATTTATTTGTAAAAATTTAATAAATTTGTAAATCTCGATTAAATTTATAATTTTTTTTACTTTTAAATTTTTTATAATAAAAAAATCACTAGGCTTGATTTATTTTATTTTTTCAACTTTGACACTCTTATAGCTAATATGATTTAGAAGAAGTGACAATTAAGATAGGTCAATGAAATTTTAACTCATTTTAAAAAAAAATTATTTATATTCAAATCATTTTAAATTATAAAATTTTATGATTAAATTATTAAAATATTTAATTAAATTGAGTTGGATTAAAATGAATCATTTTGGATAAGTGTTACTTTATCTAATTTATTAAGTCATTCCATCTCACATTTGGATTGTGGTAGATTTTCAATATAATAAAAAACGATTACAAGGTATTAAAAGATAATTTTTTTTCCTTCTTTGTTTTCATTGTTTCATGGTTTTACGAAGGAAATGGGCCTATGACAGAACCCAAAGAATATTTGTTACTCAACTCTCACGTGGATTGGCCATAAGGAAACTCCCATGTGATGTAGTTAAGTGATAACAGTCACAGCCCAAGGAGGCTCCGCCTCACAGAAGTCAGAATCTATAGGAGATCAAAGGTGGGTCCAAGAAAAAAGATTACATCCCATCTTTCCGGGAATTTTTTATTTTACATCTTTTCGGGGAACTGAAACTTTTGGAGTTATAAAAGTTAAAACACAGTAAACCACAAAACAAAGGAAAAAGTCAGTGGCAGTTCTGGTAAATTCGTGGGAATAAAATTCAATAGACTTGACAAAGAAGCAAAGCAAATGCCCCCACAGGCCACAGCCCCATGGCCAAGGGCAAGCAGTCGGTAAAAATGTATTATACTAGTTGTAATAAATAAAGGGTTTTGAAAGCCTTTTTTGGGGGTTGGGACGGTATGCCAGTGAAATTTGCAGAAGGTATGAGGGAGCAAGTAATGATGACCTAACACACAGTCACACACGTAGCCTAGGAGCTGCAGCTGAGTGCTGAGCCAGCCTCTCTGCTCCTTTCTGAATTCTTTTTACTACTAATCTTTTTTTTGACCTTTGTGTGAATGCGTGCTGTTCTTTGGTTTTTGCCTTCGGGAAACAAGAAACAAAAAAGCTCCATAAGACACGAGGAGCCTCAAAAACCTACACAACTTGCTTGCTGCTGTGGTGGTTGAATGAATGCTTAGTTTGGTTGTGTTATTCAAATACAAGTAAAAGGTTAAAATAAGCAGAAGCATATATGATTGGGAATTGTGAACCATAAAAGGTTAAAAATGGTCCAACCTTCTCTTTCATCTGGTTTGTTTTGAACGTTTCAATTATTCAATCCCATTCTCTTTCTTTTGGTTTGTTTTGATGGTTCTTTCATTATACTATTGTCTCTAAAAAAAAAAGCATACAAGAAATTAAACTAGAGTAATTAATTTGTAATCTTGAATGAATTATTTTTAATAAATATTTTCGTAAGGGATTATAATAATAAATTTTGAATGATTTATATTTAATAAATATTCTGTGATCAAAATGTATAAATATAGAAAAAATAAATTTTAATAAACTAAGAACAAATAAATGAAATAAATTATGCTGGACACAAAAATATTATTTTTTAGTACATATTAAAATATATTTATTAAAAAAATAAAATTAGTAAAGTTATTAAGAAGAAAACTAAAGTACCATCTTTTTTCTAATTTTAAGTTGAATTTTAAAAACCATAGGCAAAAACAATTCTATTTCATTCTTAAAACTTTTATTTATTTTTTAATAAATATATTCTAGTATGATAACAAAGAGTAATAATTTTGAATTTATTACTTTAAGTTATAATTCTCTCTTATTTTATGTAAAATTTTATTAAATAACCATATTGACACCATTTTTTAAGATTTAGGATTATCATGAAATAATTTAAAGTTTAGAAATTAAAGTGAAACCTAAGTAAAATGATTGGTACTATAAATACATTTTTTCTGATTTTTCTAGTTCAAGCCAATGATAAGAAAACGTAAACTAAACACAGTTAATTATGAATTAAAAAACATATTTAATTATTTTATTAAGGGGTAAAAGTGAAATTTGCCGTTATAAGATGAGTTAAATTGAATTTTAGTACAATTTTTTTAATTTCATTGAATTTTATGATTTTTTTTTGTACAAAAAACCTGGGATAGATGGTTAATCTTTTAGATTATGACAAAATGTGTCATATTTTCATTATCATCAATAAGATTTAAATTTAAGACTTCTTAATCAAAGAAAATATGTCTTAATCAATTGAGTTAACCAATTGTTAAAATTAAATTTTATGATTATACTTTATTCTTATTAAATTTTGCCATTTTAATTTCAATTCTGTTGATTCTTAAAATGAAATAATGGAAATAATAAAAATTTGTCATTTTCATTGATAAAGTATTTTATAAAATATTTTAATTTAATTACTTTAATAAAAAAAAGACAATATTTGAAAGCATAACAATAAAATTTGTCATTCATATTAACAAAGTATTTCAATGTTGTTACGTTATATCCAATAATCAATGAAATTTAAAGTATGTATAGTGACAAAATTTAATAAAATTAAAAGTATAATAACAAAACCCAATGCAATTGAAGTATAATGCAAAATTCAATCTTAATTCATAATACATTGAAAAAATTAATCTTTTATCTCTTACTTGTTTTTTTTTTTTTTCTTTGTTAAGAATGATAGGTTCTTTTATGAAATTGTCAACATCAATCTAAATTACAATCATAAAAAAAATATTCTTTAAAGAAAATATATAAATAAAAAAACCAATAACAAACTAAATAAATAATTAGACAAAATCTACACACTATAAAACTTAAATCTTATACATAAAGATTTCATAAATGCTCTGTTGTCATGCAAATAAAGTCTCATTGGATATGCCTTAAACCTCAAACTTCTTAAAAAGTAATAACAACTCTTACATTGATTTTTTTTTTTTAAGAAAAATTTAAAGTAAATAAATTATTAAAATAAAATGTATCGTATTTGATAATTTAAAATAAATGATTGTAAATCATACATTTTAAATAATTTTAACAAATAACATCAATAAAATTCAAATTTAAAATTTTTTCATAAAAAAAATAAACCTAATCGATTGAATTATCTATTTATTGATAACCCTTACATTGAAATTGAGTTCTTACTATGATACTACATGTTAACTTGGGGTACAATATGTTAAATATTGTTGATATATCAAATATTCGTGTGAAATTAAATATTAATTTCTTTAACAAAAGAGAAAAGCCTTTTATTAACGAAGAAAAAAAAAAACGAGAGAGGGAGAGAGAAAACGACAAGACTTTAAAAATTCAAATTTAACGATTGGACCACAATTAATTAAGGAAACCTTAACATTCCTTTCTTCTTTTGAGCAAAGCTCTAAAAGTTTTCTGCCCATATTATACCAAACAAATGGTATGTTTCTACATTTCTACATATTGTTTAACACTTTCTGCAAAAAGGATGTATATATATTATAGACAATGAGATTAGATTACATAAATTCCAAAATTATTAAACTAATTCAAGTCTTAAATTCTAATTGTTGGGATATTTATTTGGATATAATTATAAATAAGCAAAGACATCTCATTTTTCTCTTTTAATTAGTAATTTAAAAAGAAATAAAAAATTTTCGACATTTATGAACAGTAATTATCGACTTTAATTATGATTTGATTATAATAATTTATTTATTAATTAGTTGATTTATCCACGAGTTAGTAGAGCACATTATTAATAAAAAACATTGTGATGCCCATCAATTATTCTAAGAAAAAAAATATAGCAGGTAATTTGTGGGTTAAGAAAATGTTTGAGGTTCGGGAGAAAGAACGATAAATATTTGTAAGAACTAACCGGAGGCCATAGTGGGGTGAGCCAAACATGTAACTAAAGGATTAGAGTTTAAAGGGTGGAGTGGACAATCTGCAAAGTCCCGACAGAATTAGAAAAGGCTGTTGGTCCCAACTCCCAACAGGCAACACAAAGCCATGAACTCATATTCTGAGAGTTCCATTAAAAAAATTTGTAAAAATACTACAAATTCAGCCAGACATCAGAGTTCACCTCCCCAAGTAAACAAAAATTTATTACCAAAATTTTACTCTCATTTTCTTCACGAAAGCAAGGCAGTGACAAACAAGACAGGGATAGAAGTCAGCTTGTCAAGTCGCTGTTCATCTTTTATTGTTTCGCCTCAGTATTTAACGTTAAATCACATCATCTCAGAATTCCAAAGGGCGGTACAGATTACAGACTATAGAACGAAGAGCTGAGGAGCAGTCCCCAACCCAAACCCCCCACCATTTCCTCTCTTTTCTCTCCTGTCTCTCTTAACCCTCTCTCTCTCACATTTCACTCGTTTATTATATATATATACATATATCTCCTTTCCGTCCTCTGACCTCGATTTCTCTCTCTTCTTCTTTTTTTTACTATTCTTACTTTCTCTTTTTCTGCCGGTGAGGTGAGTTTTCTCCTGTTTGTCTTGGCATTTGTGTTGGGCCTGTAGGGTTGTTTTACTTTCTTTGTTTATCCCTTTCTTTTAAAAAGTCCTGTGCTTTTCTTTTGTTCTCTTGTGACTAGAACTTAAAGAAAAGTAGGAAGCAACAAGCAAGCAAAAGAAAGAATCTCTGGTTGTAGAACTAGAAACCTACATGCAACCTGTTTAAGTCCTCAATAGCTTAGGTGCCTTGTGTTTTTTTTTTTTTTTAAATTATCCCTGTGTTTCTCATAGAGAGCAAGTCTTTCATTCAAAAAAACAGGTGAAGAAATGACTAAAGAAGAAGACTTTAAGCTACTCAAGATTCAGGTCTTTCTCTTTCACCCACATTCTGCCTGTCCGTTTAATTTTTTAATCTATATGTACAGCAAAGGTGGATGGTGGTGGTCTTTTCTTCTAAAGAATCTTTCTTTCTTCTTGTTTTTGCTGTTTGCTTTGTTGCCCTTTTCATTTAATTTTTATCCAGATTTGTGTTCTCAAAGTGAACATACACTGCGATGGATGTAAGCAGAAAGTGAAGAAACTCCTTCAGAGAATTGAAGGTGCTCACTTTTGTCACTCAGCTTTCTCATATGATTTGTTTCGCTCTTTTTGGTGACTGATTGTGGACTGCTTGCAGCTCTCCTTCCTCTCTTCTCTCTTGTTTATGAACATGTTTTCCTTCCTAGAAGGTTTTTTGCTTGGTTGTTGGGAAAATTAGGGGAGGCTAGGTAAATAATTATTAGTACTCTGCTTGTAGTTCAAAAGAGTGATCCACAAGAATACAGAATTCAGACCAACAAACAGAGTAAAAGTAAATGTCTGGCTTGTTTTTGTGGCGTTTTTCATAAGAAAAGTATTACCTTAAATCTAGACGATCAGGAAACTGTCTCACGTTGCTTGATAGGTTGAAAGAGATGAGAACAATGATTCGCTTTTCGCGGAAGTACCATCTGTGGATCTTCCGGAACTATCTATGTGTTTTGGATAAGAGAAGTGAAAATTTGTAAGTTCTTTATCAGTATGGGATGTAATGACTAGTGATCTGGACTGACCAATTCTTCATTTCAGGAATCATTACTCAAGATGAACTTTCTTGAATTAGAGATTATCAGGATAGATGTTTGTACTTTTCAGGTTCCGGATGTATGGGACACAATGCTAGGAGAATTTCCAACTCATTGGTCCTAATAATAGCTGTCATGTGCATGTCTAACGTGTTTGTGTAATTTTCTGTTTGTTGTTTTCTTCTTTGTTCCAGGTGTTTACCAAGTTAGCATAGATGCAGAGCAGCAGAAAGTCGCAGTCTCAGGAAGTGTAGATTCTGCAACATTGATCAAGAAGCTGATCAGAGCTGGTAAACATGCTGAGGTTTGGTCCCAGAAGTCCAACCAAAATCAAAACCAAAACCAAAAGCAGAACTGCATCAAAGATGAGAAGAAGAACAACAAAGGCCAAAAACAAGTCTTGATCAAAGGCCTTGAAGCCTTCAAGAACCAGCAGAAGTTCCCTACTTTCATTTCTGAGGAAGATGATGATTATACGGATGATTATGACGAAGAGGATGAAGAGGATGAGCTGCAATTTCTCAAACCAAGTCAGCTGGGTTTGCTCAGGCAACAAGCTTTTGATGCAAATAATGCCAAGAAAGGTGTTGGAGACATTGCTGCAGCTTCCAGCAATAATAATAAAATGAACAATATTATAAACGGGAATGCTGGAAAGAAAGGAAACCAGAATCAGAATATGGGAATGAAGGTCAATCCAGGTTTGCTTGATCAAAAAACCTTGGCAGCTTTGAAGATGAATAATGCTCAGTTGGTTGGTGGTTTAAACATAAATGCAACAGAGGCCAAGAGGGGAAATGACATTAACCCCATGATGGGTCATTCAGGTTTCCCTGGAAATGGTGCTAATGTTGCTAATTCTTTAGGAGGCAATCCCAATGCTGTTGGAGGATTTCAACTTCAATCCAACAATGGATTGCAGGGGTCTTCTACAGCAAGTTTTCCAAATGGTGGATATGCTACTGGTCAATATCCATCATCAACGCTCATGAACATGAATGGCTACAACTATCCATCACCAATGAACATGATGAACCTGCAGAATAGGCATGCCATGCCGCCACAACCCCAGATGATGTATCACAGATCCCCGATAATTCCCCCTAGCACTGGGTATTACTATAATTATAATCCTCCTCCATACTCATTCCCTGAAGCCCCCAATTACAACGCTGACCACTCTGCATCAACCCATATGTTCAGCGATGACAACACAAGCAGCAGCTGTTCAATAATGTAACAAGAAGAAAGAAAAAAAAAATTATGTAGAGAGAGAATGCATGGACTTTGTTTGACCTGAATTTCTCTCTTTTAAGTGGAGCTAGTGGGTTTTGACAACATTCTACTGTGTGGTGTAGAGGGTAGCAGAGATGCTGGAATGGGGATGTTTGAGTGAAATCTCATCTGTGTCTTTGTGTAGTTGTTAAGATTATGTTATCTTTTATTTAATTCACTCCAACTCTGCCTGCTGGTGTTTTTTTTTCCCTCTGCTCCTGGAATGACAATGTGAACCAGAAACGCTAGTAAATAAACAAAGGAGTGATTAATCTATAATTTACTTAAATAATTTTTGTGGGTGTAAGTGTATGGGTTTTGAGGATTATGGTCAAATTTGGAGTGGTTTTTATTTAATTCCAACAACAGACAAGGTGACATTGGTTACTGCAACTTTACAAAGAATAATGAAACTATCTGCCAGAGGGTAGGAACAGCTGTGGCGGGTTGACAATATGTCACCTTAGTGCTGAAAAGTGTGTGCAAGATAGGTTAGGTAGATCGGTGCAAGTGCAGCTCACGTGCATTGCCAATCTCTGAGTGGTACTGCCTGTCACCGACGGGCTAAATCCAACAGGACTGGACAGGACCACCCAACCCACTATCACTAATCCTGTTACGCCATTGATCCCTGCCGCTGCAATGCAAAGCTTCACTAATGCAAACAAAGATACTGGATATAATCTTTTATTGTTTCATAAAAAAAATGGATAATTGGTTATGTAACTTAGCTGCTCATGTGATGGTCTTTTTCCCCTTTAAAAATTGGTTCGAAGATGACAATTTGAATTCTCTGTTTAGTTGTGTTTGAATTTTCTTTCATTATTTGAGATTTTTCGTCCACAATTTGAATTTTCTTTCCCCGCAACACGAATATATCTGCAGTTTCAACTCCTAGAAAGAATCTCCATCCTAACCTATGAATATGATAGCCATTGTAAGGGGGGAATTACGATCTGGATAATCAGTCTGGAAAGAATTACTTGTAGTATTTATATAATATCGATGAAGTAAGATTCATTAATAAATATATGGAAGTAAGAAGATCCAAAAGAAGAATTTATTAGAGTGGTTGTTGTTAACGTAAAGGTGCGACCCAGCTTTTAATAAAAGAGGAAGCGCCTGCATTAGTCGAAGAGTAGAATCAACATAGGGAACATTAATGGATTCTGCTAGCGCCTCCTTTGTTGCTTATGGTTCTACCATTTGATGACGATTCCCTAATATGTTTGAGTTTTGCATTAACTAACAAATCGAGAAAACAGTATAACCTCATTGAAGAATTAGAAAAACCAATCGTAATTGACAAAATGAACAATACTGAGAACAGAGGAGGATACTGTCTGAAATTTTTACTCGAGTCTGGTGATTAACGTTGGTTAAACTTTATTATACTACAGATAAACAGAATTGTCATAAAAGGCGACCAAATTCCATGTGAAAGAAACCAAAATGAAATAAAGATTTCGAATGAATTTTTTCCCTTTTTAAGTAGAACACCAATATCAGTATAGATGATCACAAAGATTAGAATTTTTAACATAATTCTAATCTGACAAGAAATGGTCCCAAACAGTACACAGTTGCTATAAACATTTGGCAATGAAAAAGTAATGAATGATGACGAATTGTTGTAATACAATGAGAACTCATATTTCTCTCTCAAGGATGCTCCCTTTTACATTATGAAACCGTGTGAAAAGAAATTATATGCAAACATGTTTCACAGAACCCTTCTGAAGCTGCTTACCAGCTCTTTTGCTCTCATTATATTCTTTGGCACAAAGGAAATTTTGTCCTGAAACAGAGTTATGGAATTGTCACGTGGTAACAACTGCTTTATACCAGACAAATAAGCTAACTCTTAGATTGAGGACAACAAGGTTAAACAGGTTGATTTAGTCCTTAGCAATATGAACTGAATTTTAGATTTTCTCTTATATCTAGAGTCTAGAATGGAAAATGAAAGATTTCATGCATTTCTTTAGAACCAGTTGGGTTTCTGAAATTTTATAATTCAGACCCAGAACAAGGACCCCTTATTGAAGTCTATGAAAAGAATGCCTTCTCACCTCCTTGTGCTGCATATGCGGGCAAAATCATACCTCTTCCCACCTAATTTTCTGTGGTATGTTTAATTTAAACAAAACAAAAAACTATTATAATGTAATATGTACAAAATGCAACTCAACTTATTCTAATACATAGGAACTGCATCATTTACAAGAAACGTGAAGGTTTGTTTTTTGACTCTGTAGTTCATTCAGGTTGACCAATATCTCAAAGTAAGAAAGCAAATGAATGAGCATTCACGAACTTTAAAGATCAAACCTGCATGATACGTGTTTGATGCACTACTTTTGTTATTGCTGCACTATCATCCAAACACGGATGCAGGCATCTTCCCCTGAACTAACCACACTGCAGTCATCAGTAAAAACCAAGCCATAAACTCCACCAGGATGAGCATTCTTTATAGTTATGCAGCTCGAAGGAGGTTTCCCAATTTCATAAATGATTACACAAGTGTCTATTGATCCCGTAGCCACCATTGTGCTATCAGGAGACCAAGCAAGGCAATTGATACGAGCTGTGTGGTACATGTTATTAAGCTTCACCTGCAAGACAAATAGTAAAGCTATATTTTAGCTCATAGAAAAAGATGGTTAACACATCCAGTCAGTTGCTAAAAGCACTTTAGGATATCCTGTTGTTCAAAATAATCAGAAATTTTGTTTGACTATTCTTGGGGACACGTTATTTCTATCTGTTTCTTGATTATAAAAAGAATCCGTAACAAAGAAAATAAACTAGAAGAATACCTATAGAAATGCTAATAATGCTGTTCAAGATATCATAACAAATTAAACAAATTAAACAAATTTTCTAGTTTATAATATCATATTATAGGTGCGATAAGAAAATAGAACTTTAGGAAGTTGCGAGCTTCTGGTCCACAGCCTTGCACGTCAAGATGCTTCATGCCATGGAATTGGGAGTTAATAAAGCAGGTTTCTATCTAGCAGCTGATGCAAAAATCAAACATAGACAACCAGATAACAGAAGAAATGATTAGACAAGATCCAAAACCACCATTATGATTCCTCAATCAGTCCTAAAAGACTCCCAGCACACCCAGGATTCTAGCCATGGCAAACAGGCTTTGGAGTGATATAGCCAATGTTACTGAGAAACTTGAAGATAACCAAGAAAAGGCTGTTCTCTAGGACTAATATCCTTGAATGAATAAGACTGATGGATCTGCATCCCACAATAATCTAGGACATTGCTTTTGGGAAGCATCCACTCTTGTTAAGGAAGAAGCTATCTATCTCAAGAATGGGGTGAATCAATTCACCATCCAAGTTTTATAGGAAGGCCATTAAAACTATTTTGAAGTTCAAGCTAACTCTTTGGAGACACGATCCCAAACGACGGCTTCACGATTTAGATCGGCAGAAGCAAACATGGAAACATCTGGTGAATACCGTATTACACTAATTGCACCCCTATGCTTCTCAAGGGTTGGTTCTTCTGTGAGAGAATCAACTGAGACAGAATATATACGCAACTTACCATCCTTCCCTCCCACAATAACCTCACATCCATCAGGTGCAAAAACAGAAGTTGTCACTGTAAATCCGAAATTGATGTTTGATAGTACTTGCAGACCCGTAAGCAATACAACTCCACAATCAGTTGAAACTAAAGCTAGATCAGGGGAATTAATTGCATGGCTCAATTCCTTTGGCTGACTGCCAACATCTATATGTTCTGCAACCCCACATTCATCCCCATTTAGAGGAACTCTCCATACCTGAAATTAACCGAGGAATTATCAACAGAAAAGAGAACTTGTATTCAAACTATAGAGGATGCAGAGTGTTCACGGTTAATATAAATTCAAGAAAGATCTTGTCTAGATAAAGATGAAATCAATATTGAGTGAAAGAATAATATTATCCATGATCAATGTATGGATATCCCAGTAAAAGTAATCTTCCTGGGGTCAGATTTAGTTTTAATTAGTTACACATTGAGATCTAATGTCCAACTATTATAATTTCCATTAAAATTTTTCATGGTCTATTTACTAAGTGACTATTTGATGCTGACAAAGGCAAACTTCATTCTCTTTCCTCCACAGTTTCTATTTTCTTCATCCCACCTATCCACTTTTTATAGGGAAGGACATGCAAACAAAACATGTTTCCTGCATAATTTCCATGCATCCAGGCAAGTCTCAGTGGATAAAGACCCACCACTAGTGTTTCTCAACCATTTCCCATCTTTCATGTGCACTAACCTCTTAAATGGGATAATCAAGTCATCTCCATTAGCTGAATAGACTAATGAAATCCAGGCAAGCCTAAGTGGATCAACCAGGATCGAAACCCACAACTAGCATTTGCCATGCATGCTAGCCTCTTAAACTGGATAATCAGGTCATCTTCATTAGCTGAATAGACTCATGAAATCCTGGTGCTCTATCACAGACATTGATGAATGTTTAAGTTATGGGAACATCAAGATTATAACCATCAACACTGAACAAATACCTCAAATTCTTCATAATGCTACAAAGATAAGTATTGCAGTTTATTTAAGGATAGGAGAATAGCATTGCTAAGAAAAAAAAAAAGAGAGAATCATTTTCATCATTATTATTCATAATCAACAATTCTTCAATAAAGTTTAAAGTTGTAGTTGATATACAGCACATTCAGTCATTCATAGCAAATGCTTCAGAAAACATTGAAGTGCTGGCCCTAAATTAAAATTTCAAGAATCAGCCCAAAGACTTATGTGTTAATTTACTTTATCAAAATCATAGATTGCCAGTTTAGGTTCCAAGAAAGTTATCTGTCTTTGTTGCAACAAGCTGTTCAAATAAAGCTTCTATAATGTTTGACTTATACTATTCCAGGCACTCATTTGAAATGCAAACATTGGCTCATGTGAGATGACATGTATTTAACCACAATTTGTATAGATTTCAAAATATGAACTAAACTAAATTTGATATGCTTCCACAGTACGACCTTTTTAAAGATCTTTAATAAGATAAATTGACAGCAGCTAATGTAAACATATTTATCCTAAACAGGTAAAATAAAATTTACAATAGAAAAGCTATTTTGGAAGTCCTTAAGAAATGAATTTCATTTGAAGAATAAAGGTTTTGTTTTGACATTTTCCTATGTTTATTGGAGGATGAGGATGATGAACAGAGATTATTAATGCATATTTTGTTAACATTAATAAAATGCAATGTGTTTTGTGGTATAAGTTTACCTTGTTGTAGCATCCAGATGTAATTATCTCTTCTTTTACAGCAGCCAAACATTTAATTTGAGAACAAT